AAGTATTATGACATTCTATTCTTCATGTTACACCTAAGAATGATTCATTATGACCATAGGGATATTTGCCAATACTCAAACCTCTTCCTTTACTATTTTTTCGTACTGGTCATATAAATTGAATATATGTTTCTGGTTATTGCAATGAATTTTTCCACAAATATTTTTTTGGGAGAAATCCCGACCGGGGGTTCGTCCGAACCCATCGAACCCCCGGTCCCTACGGCTATGGGATATCCATATAACGGAGTAATCACCACTGCATTTTGTTAAGTTCTTTCACTGACCAATGAGTGCACTGAACGAAACACTTAGTACAGAGCCTGGGATTTGATCTCGAATATAACCCAGCTGAAGCATTGACTTTGTGCACTGTTTATAGAAGGCATGAATACAGTCATGTTCGAGTTTATATTAATGACTGCTTACATTCCAATGTACATTTGATTATACACATTATATATTGTAACTCTGAAGAAATACTCGATCAGACCATTGAATTTCAAGTCGTAGACGGGAAGTTGCTTTGTTTATGCGGGTAAACCCGAAAGCGTTTTGATTGGTCTATCAGTCTGAAGTCACACGTCGTATTCACTCGATCTGTCAATCAATACGGTTTCGCGATACCCCTGACACACGCGTGTGACAGCGTATGAATTATGGAAATCGCGAAACCGCTGAATAACTTATTATAATATCAGCGATGATGCATTAGATTGTACAAGGCGGTAATAATTCAAGATCAGATAATTAAAAAAATACCGACTTGGGCAAGGCTACATACAATAGTGAATATGTTAATACATATTGTAACTTTACTATTACAATATAAGATACAAGCTGATAACTGTATACTCTTTACGCTATACACAAGCTAAAATTGTAACTTTACTGCAACAACATAAGTTAGCTGTTAATAATTGTATACATTTGATAATGATTTATGATTTGATAATGATTTTTGAAGTAACTACTCCTAGGGTTAAACAAATAGTTTCCTGCAAAAATCATACCTATAGGCTTACTAGTTACCCTTTTTATTAATTATTAAAGTAAAAAAACGCTTTCATGAGAGACCCGATTAAGGCCGCTTGTTGTATCTTTTTTCTCCATATTGCACTAATATATGGTGAAACAGATAGTTTAGATTACTTGTATTATAATAACTTAATTATTTCATTGCATTTTAACATTAACATGTTAGAAGTAATGGTTAAAATACTAAAAGACACAGGTAGTTAAAAGAAACACGATTTTTCAATATTTTTTATACCCCTTATTGTAATTAGGCAATGATATCTCCTACTACAAAGTAGATAAATTATCAAATTATACGTCAAAGCACTCGGAATATAACAAGTTATCATCAGGCAATAGCAATAATTATGTAAATCAAGAATCTTGAGACGTAATACATATGGTCACTTTTGGCTAGGGGGTACGATTCGAGATAGGGGGTACTTCGTACCCGCCCCCTCCCGCTAGTGCAATAAGCATTGGAACTTTAGGGTTTATCAAAAATTCCAAATAAGGAAAATTGAAATCAGTCAATTAAACATGGATTCTTTGTAACACGGAATGTTTCTTTTTAGAGCTTATATCTAGTACACATTTCATGTTTTTGATATGTCACGTTGTACTTATTATAGCTCTTGATCAAACAGCTGCTACATTTATGTTATTCATATACTGGTCGTTTATGATGTCTTATCTCGCGAAAAAACGATTAACATTATTTATTACCATGCGTCATCAAGAGCAATATTCTGTTCGTTTTAAATGTTTGTTAAAATAAAATACCTGTCAGTGAGTAGGAAATGTAGTTTGAGTAGTATGGATATTTTATTTCTTAGAATTTGAAATAGATGAATAGTCAATAGCAAATGATATCAATTGGTTAATGCATGCTCACTTATTTCAAAACTTTCACACTTCCTATTCCACGATTCCAACGATTTATTGGGCATGTTTTCAGGTTTTGCTTCATTTTGATATTTTACAGGGTGTCTGATAAGTCTCGCCACCCTGCTACAGCCAAAATCTTAATAGACGGTACAAAGTGAAATGTACCATTGGAAAGACCATGATGAATGTTCATGATGTCCTGGATAGTTTTTTTATTGCATAAAAATGCGAAGGATATTTTCTTTATTTTTCACGTTTTTTCGATAATTGATATCATTAAATTTTAAAATAATTTTCGGTTTACTGTAATATTAACTGTGAATAGATTTTTGACTTAATCATCATGGTACTATTAAAATAAAAGTTTTCATTATCAAAACCTATGGAATAGTTGGAAAATTTGAATCATATTGAAAATGAAATGTATAATAACTTTATATAAATAACAAATCTTAACGCAAAATTATTTAAATATACCAATGAAAATATCGAAAGAATTTTTTAATTGATTTTGACAAAACCTATGTTAATTGTTTCATTAAGGTAAAACACCAGCGTTTATTAAAAACATATGAATACTTTTGAATTCAAAACTTAGCAATAAGACAATGCTGTTCCATCATTGTATTGTATTGCTTCATTGTCTTTCTCATTTTCACATCAACATCACAGGTCAAAATCGTTTGTTAAGTAAACGCATGGAATCTATCTAAATTGAACCTATATGTGTGGATATACTGATTCTTCATTTTGATATAAATTTGATAGCTAGATATAAAAAATTAAGAGTAATACAATAGGCAAGATTTGAAAAGCTACAAAATTCAAACAAGAAAAATTACAAATAAGGAATCTTTTTTTACCTGGACCGAGGAGATAACAACAGATACGAAGAACGCTGGTATGATATTATAATGGATTGGCTACAACAAGGCCAACATGACTTGAATCTTGAAATGGCAGAGAGAGAGAGAGAGAGGTGAAAACGTTTATATATACCAAATATTCCATTCTATTGAGGTGAACACATTTCCAAATATTCCATTCTATTGAGGTGAATACATATCTTTCCCTCAGTACCAAGTCGTTCAATAAGTTCACGGAAAATGCTCTCATTTCAAAGATTTTTGATATTTTCTGATGAAATTTTCACAAAATGTACAAAAAATACTTTTCGATTGATTCTTATAATATCAGTATCTCTTATTTGATTGGCCAAAAATAAGGGTTACTATGGTAACTTGACTTTTTGGTAGGCGGGGCACTTTTTACGTCACACAATTTACCATTACAGAAAATCTATCAATATGTGCAAATGAAAGATCCCTATTCTTTGTTTGTTCTTATTTAAATTACAAATATGAGAGGAAATTAATGTCCATTGTTTTCATGAACATTTCTGAAATCTTGCTAGTCAATGCTGTACCAATGGGCCAGAAAATCAACAAAAAAATAATGCTATAAGTTTATTAAAACTTAACCATTCAGCTAAACTCTAAATTTTTCCATCGGGATAATGCAGCCAATCACACTGCTAATATGTGCAGGAAACCATCACAAATAACTGGCAAAATAGCTGTTTTCACTAGGATAAAGGATCAACTAAAAGGTGCACTTTATAGAACAATGGAACAACTTTCGACAGCAGTCCAGATGGCCCTTTAAACAAGTTTTCCAGATGGCTTCAGAGCAATGTATCGTCAATGGGTTGAATGTAAGCGACTGTGCATTAAACATGAGGGAGAATATTTCTGAAACCTTATGGGACAATAGTTGTGACTATTACATTAATGAAGTAGAAAGCGGAGAAGAAATTCATATGCTATACTCATAAATTGTCTACTATTCTGTTGTTTTTCTAATGAATAATGTGACGTAAAAAGTGCCCCGCCTACCCAAAAGTCAAGTTACCATAGTAACCATTCCTTTTGACCAATCAAATAAGAGATGCTGATATTTTAGGAATCAATCACAAAGTATTTTTTATACATTGTGTGAACATTTCATGAGGAAATATAAAAAATCTTTGAAATGAGAGCATTTTCCCGTGAACTAATTGAACGACTTGGTATATTTCCCGCAGCCCGAAGCTTTTTGACATATAGTTAACCACTGTAAAGGAATAAGTGATCCCTTCAGGGGTTTCAAAGATACCCATTATGGGTGACCAAACTTAGCTGAAAGCAGTGATTTTTCCCTATGGGAAAATAACATGGGGAAATATTGTTTTTAACTTTATCTAAAAGGAATCATTTATTCCTTTTGAGGGGTTAACTGTGTGTCAAAACGCAACATATTGATGCAAGAAAAATTAAAAAAGCAGCAATGGGAGGGGTTGAAAATCAGGAAAACATTTCAGAAAAAACATGTGGGTGGGTTGTTTGCATCTACCCTGTCTCAAAGTCGATATTATTTTATCATCTTTAGAAGTGATTTTCCTGGAGGTAATGCATTCGCCTAACATATGCACCTGTTTAAATCCCCAGGAAATGGCCAAAATCAAACATGTGACTGTCTAAAATCTGTTGCGCTAATTTCCCCCCTTTAACGGAGGGGGGATAATATGTCTTTCAGGTGGAAAAGATTTATTCGAATTCGTGTACTTGAAAAATAAACTCTGTAACTCAGTAACAACTGGATGTTACAACTCTGAAGAATGAAACATAGGAATATTTGGAGTTATTGGTGATAAAGCAAAATAACAATTCTAATCATGTCTTATAGACAAACCACTTTCCCCTCCGTCCATCCCCCTGCGTTCAATTTTGATTATTTTCGATTTTGTTTGATATATGGAATGTATGGAAACTAATTGTCAAAAGCCAGCAACTACATAAATTTTGTAATGATAACGTCAACCAATTTGCAATATTGCAGATTGCTTGATTTTTTGCTATTCAACCTCTGTTTCCGATCAGTAAATATGGCTAAAGGCAAAAAATATCGGAGGCACAAAAAACTTGCAAAATTGTACTATCCCCTTGAGTCATTACGGGTAAGTGGGGAGTTGCTTATTTTTTGACACCCTGTATTGTGCTACTTTGCGATTACAATGTTCACTTGGTAATATTATTTAAACCTTACTAGAGTCATATGGATGAGTCGACGATTCTGTGTCACAGTAAATAGAAACGATAATGAATTCAGTGTATATTGATATGCTATATTAAAAGGACAAGCAGACTACATTATGATAATAAGTTGATAAATTGGTTTGAGGCCCCGAGAAATTAATCATGCATTGCGTACAGGGTCATTAAGAATAAAGGAAAACATATTGATATTTCAAATATAAAAATGTGAGAAGACCGGACATGGAAAATTAAACTATTAGTAGACAAAAATGGCGAAAAAGATTTGCTGGAGGAAGATGCTGAATCCACGTAGAGTGGCCATTGTTTTTCTACTTTTAGGGATATCAGTCATAATATTAAGCAACCTGAAGGTTTGGAAAATACCAAACGTGACCTCCATGATCTCTACAATTCTACATGAGGACAATAGAAAAAATGTATACATAAATAAACTGGATATAGCATTGGTATGTTTAGAATGTAACCTTCAAAAAGGAAATAGTTTGGAAACGATTCCGTTTTTAAAGAATTTTCTCACATTATGTAGAACTGCGTCACCTGGATACAACTATGCAATATTTATTCCAAAACAAGAAGTGTCTGAAGATGAGGTCATCATGAATATCTTTCGCTCTGATTTTGAAAATTGTTCAAAATTGTTTAATATAACATTGCGAATCGTCCCAGATATTGATTACCGGGGCCACACAGGTAGGGGTCTTAATGATATTATGTACATAGCCTACTTATCTGGAGCATCGTACATTTATAAAATGACTGATGAGTCCACGTTTTTGCCTACATCAAAGAACTGGACAGAAGTGTATATAAAAGAATTACAGAGTCGCAAGGACAGTGAAGTTGGGATTATTTTTGATTGTAAACAGGAGTTCCGGAAATGTCTAAAAATGTCCTATTTTATTCACAAAACTCACATGGACATATTCGGATCTGTATTCCCACCAGACATAATGGATTCAGATGTTGATCATTGGATCTATGATCTTTACTATCCGAATTACACGTCAAACATTCCTATTACATCAAGTGCTTTGAGTGCTGAACGTGATCAAAAAACCATCAATAAACCAGATCTATGCAAATCTTTGGTAATCAAATACAAACCGATGTTAGAGCACTATACACATAGCCTGAAATCTACACAAACTAAAAGAAAAGATTTGATTATTTCAATGAGCCTATGGGGAAACTCAAAGAGATATACCTATGGCGCAATAAGAAACGCCCAACTCGCAAGGATGAACTTCCCAGCATGGACTCTTAGGATATATATCGAAAAACGTAATACTCAGCATAAGCACTCTAAAGTTCCTGATTATGTTCTCGAAAAGCTGGTTGACTTGGGCGTGGATTTATTTGAGGTGGATACACAGAATGTGACCTTAGCACCAATGATATGGCGTTTCATGGTCGCAGATGATTTGACAATCGAACGGTTTGTAGTAAGAGATTCAGACAGTCGACTTACGGAGCGTGATGCGGCAACAGTACAAGAGTGGCTACATACAGACAAACCCTTCCACTGCATTCGCGATCATCCTAGTCACGGTAATTTCCCCCTAAGTGGTGGATTATTCGGAGGTAAGCCTAAAGATATTTTGAAAATATTTGATAAACCATGGAGCAAGTTGTCATCACAATATGGTTCGGGGTACTTGGAGGATATGAACTTTTTAAATAATATGGTTTGGTCAAAAGCAAAAGATCACTTTTACTGCCATGATAGTGTATCATGTAAGAAGTATACTAGCTCACATCCGTTTCCAGTGGCCCGAAACGGTAAAGAGCACATTGGTGGGGTTTATGACCAATATGACATTCCAAGAAAAATAGATCTTGATATAATAAATCTTGAGAAATTACCATCAGAATGTACAAACGCATCATCTGCCAAAGCTCAAGAAACAACGATTGATCCAACTTCAGCAAAAACTAGACCAATTGTTTTATGGAGCAACGATTTCCATATAAGTCCAATAAATGACCTTAAATCTTTCCTTGGAGCAATGAGAGCTACGTTCATTGATAAAAGCCTGTCTGGGCATTGTCATCTCACAAAAACCTGTGCAACAGATTTGAAAGTTTTGAATAAGGGGAATGGCATTAACTTGGACAGACCCGCCATCTATACAGAGTTTTATGAAGCCTACAAGGATGACCCTGAAATGGAAAAGGTCGATGCATTTGTTTGTTTCCATCCATCGTCGATGTGCGAAATTTTCATGCCATTCAACAAATCAATAATTGTTATACCTTCCACACGTTTCGAGATGGGCAGACACACGAAGGATCGTTGGAATGCTTGGAATCTGAATTTAAAACGTATTTCAGAGCAGCCACAAAATACGGTAGGGGCCAATAACCAGTACGATTTAGAGTATGTGCGATACTTTACAGGAATCACACCAACACTTTTACCAAGTTATTGTGGGTATGTTGACTCTGAATACAACCCCACTCGGCCGGGTTATCTTCTTAGTCCTGTTCACAAAGCTGGATTCGAAAAGATCTTCCTAGATGAATTCAACAAGGCAAAAGAAGTATCCAATGTAAGTCTGACTCCACTTCGTAAGCTCTATAGTCATTACGAATACAGTGATCTGGCCAGCCATCAAGGGATTGTGTATGTACCTTATCAAGTTTCAGTGATGAGCCTGTTTGAGCAATACAGAATGAACATTCCTCTATTTTTCCCCTCTCTCGATTTACTTTCTAGTTGGCAACTCACCTATAATGTCCTAAACGAGCGAACCTGGAGTTCAGTTTTCGGCACAATCCCTGACAAATCCATAATGCCTGGCGTACTAGACAATGTGCCAGACCCAAATAATGACAAAGACCTCGAAGCCATAAAATATTGGCTGAAGTATTCAGATTTTTACCAGTGGCCACATATCGTTTACTTCGATTCCTACAAAGATCTGATCAAGAAACTAGAAACCACTGATCTGAGGAAAGTGTCTGATGGAATGCGTGAATATAACAAGAAAGTAAAAACTGATTTAATACAAAGATGGCAGACAATTTTAGAAAAAGTACGGACGTTCTCTCATCATTTTAATTAATACCATGTAATTGTGACCTATATGCACTGCCGGTACACCCCTCTCCATAAGTTTGGCAATTGGATGTACTCGTTCAGATAACTTATCAAAGCCAGTTTAATTTATGTTTTGCAAACTTATGGAGAGGGTGTATCATACACATTATAAGAGTGTCACATTCACAGTAATTTAATCGTCTGACATCCTCCTTGAAGAACCATATCCGAACTTGAAAATTGCCGTATTGTAACTTTACCTTTACAGAAATAACATACGATATAGTTCCAAGAATATGACATGCACATGATAATATGTAAATACATATCATAACTTAACAATTACAAAAAAAGAGATAGAGGCTGATAATGTATGCTTTTGATAATAGTGTAGAATAGAATATGACATCCACAAGAGAACATGTAAATGCATGTTGTAACTTTACTGTTACAATATAAGATAGAAGTTAATAACTTTATACCTTTGATAATAATTCATAAATATAAAACATAAAATAGAAGTAAATAAGTGTACACTTTTGATAATAGTTCCCAGAATATAGTAATACAAAAGTTAATACATAATAATAATAATAATTGTATACCTTTGATAAAAGTTCTAAGAATATGACATCCACAAGAGAACATGTAAATACTCATTGTAATTTTACTATTAAAACAAAAGATAGAAGTTAATTTGTATACCTTTGATAATAGTACTAAAAATATGACATACCCAAGCGAATATGTAAATACATATTGTAACTTTACTATACTACAATAGAAACAGGATCTTAAGAGGTTCTGGACAAATCATTTGATTCTGGACTTGACATATTTTTTTCCAACGAAATCACATCCAAGGGTTGAATTTTTATTGGATATTTAGAGAGCGAGTCCTGTATTGATTTCAATAAAAAGGTTAAAATAGAACGCTATTTGAGAGTTAATCTTATACTTTCATTACATTGATAAATTAAGGCAAATTCTGAAAAATTTTAAAGTGCATTTTTTATGAAATATTATCCAAGTATTTAGATGAAACGGTCTTATTTAAATACAAATCATAACATGATGATATTTTTTCATAAAATATTTCTTCAAGAAATTCAATTGAAGGCTCAAGATAAAACGAGCTAATTTAGGTGAAAACCCTTACATGATGATGTGTTTTCATGACTTCTTTCATAAAATTCCATCAAGGGGTGAAAATAAAATGATCGAATTTAAGTGATTTAAGGATCACGAGGATAGGTTTTCTTGGATATTTTCTATGAAATCCCATCCAGTGGTCAAGGTAAAATTTTTATTTGGTATATTTGGTCACGTGTTCGAACCCATAGAACCATATAGGAACGTCATTTTGAATGTTACGTGATAAATCCATATAAGGCTTTTAGAACAATGTGGGGAAAGATGAGGGGAAACCCCTGACACCTGTTCACGATTTTATCCGAACGTTCATCGGATCATTTCGGTTTTTATGCACTTCATTATTTTACCGAAGTTTGCCGATTCGATTCGTCGTATTTCGGAATATTGGGGACAATTTTATACTCCATTGGGAGTATTTTTAATCTACTTCTTATTACGAAGATTCCCGAACCTTGTTCGGATTAATCCGGATTTTCTGACCTACTTCATCTACCGAGATTTAACGAGTTTACATTCGGCTCATTTCGGAATCCTGGTGACAATTTTATACTCCATTGGAGTATTTTTGATCTACTTCTCTGGATTTTTGATCTACTTCTTATGACGAAGATTCCCGAATCAGTTCGGATTAATCCGGATTTTCTGACCTACTTTATCTACCGAGATTTAACGAGTTAACATTCGTCTCATTTCGGAATCCTGGTGACAATTTTATACTCCATTGGAGTATTTTTGATCTACTTTTTCTGGATTTTGCCCTACTTATTATAAGTTGACAGCAAGCAAATCAAAAAGTTCGCCATGAACGGGTTTCGATCGACTAACCTAGAGAGTGGAAGCTAAACACGCTAGCCATGAGGCTAACGTTCACCTGTGTGAGATGATAAAAGTATCATATATTTATACCGAGCGTCAATTTAGAATGATCTTCGCTTTTGACTCCACTTAGATACAACTCGTCAGTTGTATCCAGAATAGGTGAACGCCTATGGTGTTAGTGAATAACCAAATCCCAGGCGAGTGGTTCGTATCCCACCGTGATATGTTATTTTTGCTTTATTAATACGACAGAAAGGAGCAAGGTGTAGGTTTGAAAACAAGACGTACGTTTATTTCAATACAGTTTTAGAAACATTAACCTCTGATAATTGAAGGATTTCCACTTCTGAAGCGCGACTAGATCTAAGAAGTTCATTAATCAAGACAGTGTAAACCTTTTAGATATATGTTAGACAATGTACACGCCCCGTGTGGAATCAACTAAATGTTACATTTTGGATTTCATTGAGATCCTGTCATAGTCCTAAAATTTATTTTTCTGGAACATCATTTTTTCAACACTGATACAAATTTCCCTGACATTTCCATGACATGTCTACAGTTTCAAAATTCCCGGACTCTTTGGCCCTTTTTGACCTTATTTTAAAATTCTCTGACATTTCAGGCACTTGGAAAATTAAATCAAAACCCTGACATTTCCAGGTGTGTACGAACGCTGGAATTATTCTTAAAATATCCTTCAAACAAAAGGGCAAAATGCTATGCACAAATACTCTAATTTAGTTTGTATTGTAATGCGTTGTATTACATTGCATTGCATTGTATTGTGTATTTATTTGAGTGTCCGTTGACGGTAAAGAAGGCATTTAAAAGTTATTTGTGAAACTTAATAAACTTAATAAACAATACTTTAACAAAATTCTGTTATGGCAAAGTATATTTCATTTTTTCTCTTGTTCTCTACAATCTGCGTTGAGGACACTGAAGCATATGTCTGTATTTTGTTGGTGGGGAACAGCGTATCCTATCGTTCACGGAGCAAATTCAACTCTCGTTCACGAGTACCTTGTTTTTGGGCTCTTGTCCCAAAGATAACGATTGTATAAGGTTGCATAATCAGGATTATGAGCTTTCATGTTCTCATAGTTACATCTGTTGTAAAACAAATCTTGTCGCAACCTCTGCGAATCACGACAGCATAACATTTGAATCACGTTGACATCATTGCAAAATTAGGCTAAATATGCTAAGTCAAGACGTTAATTAGCCCACGAAAGTTCATGGGTAACTTGAGAACTACAAAATACAACCAAATACTTTTCGAACGTACAATAGCAATATTTCTCACCTAACGTCTTCATAGTTTTAGGAACGTATTTTAAACGCATGATAGACAAATATATCAAGATACTATATCTGCCTAAATGAAGTTATCTAGTGTTTACAAAGTTTTGAAATATATTATATCCAGATCCATCAGAAATTAACTTATCCATTTACATTACTTTACTAGTTCTAGTATCTTGCATGACTCGTTTATAAGAATTCTTTAATTCTACCTCGTTCCCAATACGTCCTCAGACAGACAAGAAATTGAAGCCACACCCGTTTGTTTGCGTGGCATATTTATACGTATACGCACTTTCTCTGATTATTGTCAAACAAATACATTTCAGGAGAAGAACATAAAAAACAAATGCCTGAAACGAATGCCGAAACATAAATCCCAAGTGATTAAGTATAGAATGTTTTATTCTTTTACGATTTGATAAGAGACCGAGACTAAGAAATTAAATGCGACGAAATATTTTGACAACGTAATTTGTATACTGTTTTATTCTTAAAGTTCTATGCGATAAATTATTTTATCTGTTTCAAAATGTTTCATTTTATTTTGCCTATATAAAAGAGATTGAAGAAGATAAGATAAACTGTTCCGTAATATAGATTGTGTTTTAATAACCTTTTTTTAGAATCACAATGTAAAATAAATCTCCCGTTCCTGCCATTCTGGTAACGCCATGCAATGGATGCAATTCAAAGTGAGAGAGAGATCTATGAATAACAGAATGCGTCCATGCCATTAATTTGGCCAAATACATGGCATGAAACTGACGTAAGTTTAAGTAAGCTACGCCCCCCGCTTTCTCTGGTAAATTATGACTTTATTTTTCGGAGTAATGGGTTTCGGACAACTGGGTTTCGGAGAACTGGGGTGTACCCGATTACGCTTTGCACGCCGCTTTAAAATCCCGATGTCTCCAGAGGTAGTTTAATCCGGTAGCCGACAGGCGTTTCTTGCATTATTGAATACAAGCTAACCTTATATTCGCGAATGCAACTAACGCCTTCCGGCTACCTGATTAACCCAGTATAATATGACCAAGTCATTTAAATATGAATGGAATAGTGGCAGGTACTATTCGTATTGACATGAGTTTCCAGTAAAATAATAGGTTAATCCGGTAGCCGACAGGCGTTAGTTGCATTTGCGAATACAAGCTAAGACTATAATTTGGGAATGGAAGATTTCAGCTTCCGGATTAACCTACCATTCTATGGGCGACTCATTTAAATATGAAAAGAACCTGACAATATTCCATTGATATTTTAATGAATTGCCCATAAAATAGTAAAGTAGGTTTATCCGGTAGCCGACAGGCGTTAGCGGCATTCGCGAATACAAGCTCCTTTATTTCATAATTTGGGAAATATATATTTTCACAATATTGAAATAGATGGTGGTTCAAAGTGGAATACATATCATACAAGTGTCACAGATATTTTTAGTGCATATATGGTCTGTCTTTGCATGACTTTGTAGAACATATCAAAACCCTGGGATCCACAGGGTAACAGTAAGTACATTTCGTTAGATCTTCCGAAGTTCATGCTTCAAAGTTGTCAAAGTTGTAAAAGGGTAATCCTTTTTTGAGTACGAAAGCTTACTTTTTGTTCAATAGCCTTTCCCAGCTGCTAATCTTTTGAGTGCATCGTGCATTCAACGAATTGTATTCACTTATTAACCAATCAGTGCCAGGAACAAAATGCACGCTTACTTTTTGGGCTAAGTTTAGTGTTTTATGAAGCATGCTACATACAAATGTTACGCTTTTGCTCATTTACTTTGAGAACTATCTATAGGTACACATTACCAATTGACTCCTAGATTTGAGTGAACAAGTACCTCGTATTTTTCATTTTTCGATATTTTGAGATTTGTTGGCTGATGAGTAACTTGATATTTTATGTCTAAATATATTAAAGTGGTTAATAGTAATAGTTTTATTGTACACCATAAACTGTTAACGTTTTAGAATTGGGACACAATATATATTTGAGTCTTACTCTAAACTCGGTGGTTTGTTTGTTAGTATGTTTTCTTAACAGCTCAATAACTGTTGTATTAATAAGGCGTTATACTATGAAAAAAAGATTGAACGATGTAGGAATAGGCAGAGGGAGTATCACACTACCCTACCACGTGAACACATTTAAAAAGAATACAGGGTACAGTTAAGTTGCAAATAGAGCGGGTATTCTTTGTCCTTTTCCATAGGACTTTTCTGGTGATAGTGCGTTGCAAACTGCTCGATGAATCTATACAATGTAAAATCTAGTATTCCTCCAGAACTATGGAAATAAACAAAGGTCCTCCATTTGCAACTTCACTGTAGCCTGTATTCCTTTTAAAGAAATACGGGCTTCAGTATTGGGGTATAGTAGTTTGATTTTTCAATATATCACTAATCTAGCTTCTTTCCTTGAAAAAACATGAGTTTTGATGTACGTATATCAAACATGGGCCACTGCACTATATTGAACCAGGGTGCCGGTGTTACATAATGTG